GGGATGAAGTTATACATGTCTAATGCGAGATGGTACTGAAAAATGTAGCGAATGGCTATGAAAACGGAATTCCTTGTTTCTACCGTTTTATTCGAAGCATTTCTTTACCTACTACTTCTAACGTACACGGTAACAAGGATCAGTCAAATAAATTTATTTTATTTTTTAGAAGTATTAGTGTTTCTCCTTTTTTTTTCTTTTTCGTTATAAACCATAGATTCTCTAGAAGTCATGGGGAAATATGGGAATGTTACCGTCTCTTTTCCTATCCATAATCCATTCTGCTTCCGGTCGTAGAAAATCAAGATTTGTTAGAGAATTTCAGATTTTAGAAGTAGAAAGTGCTGCAAACATTTGTAGAGCAAAGGGATCGGTGAGTAGATTCAATGGCTGTCCTAAAGATAAAAGAGAATCTAACCTTACAGAAAGACCCGGCAGTAGTAGGCCAGTTGATGCTGTGAATGAGGCTCAGAGTAAGCAGTCTGATTGTTTTATTACAGCTGACAGTGGATTCGCTTTCATGTGAACCATAATAGCATCTGCAGTTTAAGGTAGTCCCTTGGATACTCAAAAGAGTTCAAGTGTTCCCAGAAAGATGAAAAAATCTAAGGAGGGGCTGAGTAGGATTGCTGCTCAATATCCCAAGGAGCTGCACAACAGAAATAGCAGCTTATGAAAAGCAGGAAAATAGACCATGGCTCGTCCCTTTGAGCCAGAGAGCAAATGAAGAGCAATGGATTAATATTTCAGACTTGCACAGAAAGAAGGTAAATCAGAAGGTTCCGGGGAGAAAGAAGTAATCCCGACATTTTGTACCGTTTTTGGTACCAAGAGAAGACATGCTGTGCTCAATGGCAGCACTATCAATTCCGACTACTACGTCAGCAAATTTTCAAAACTCAGAACAAGCATTCTTCGAGTTAGGTCATATCTTAATAGATTCCGGCATAAGAAAGCCTGGTTCTTAGAATAATTTTTTTTTGTTTTTTTTAGTCACGTGTTTTATGTCTTTTAGACGTATGCTAATTTTAGGTTTGAGTGGTAATTTTATTAATAAATTTGTTCCTCGTTAATTCCTTTTTAACCATTTTACCCTGATGATCCCATATAGTAGTACCTACCTCATTAGGATTTATTTATTTTATATATATATATATATATATATATATATATATATATATATGCATGTGTGTGTGTGTGTGTGTGGGTGGGTGGGTGTGTGTGTTTTCGCTCGCGCGTATGTGTTATATTTGTTGCCATTTTGAGATTATGTTTTTATTTTTATAACCGTTTCTCGCCGTAGACTTGAAATACATCCTTCATAGATGGAGGCTCAAGTGTCTGGAACCTGGTGTCCAGAATGGCGCTAATGGTGGAATGTAATATGAGATGGATATTCGTTTTGCATAGAAATTCGTCTTATAAGTCCTCAGTTATATATTTCCTTTCCGCATTTCAAATCTGGAAGACGTTTTCATAAAATAAACGATAGAACAATTTGGTTGTACCACCATCTTTTTTTGTCGTATTATCGTCTCGTGAAAGTGATAAGAATAAAACTATATATGCAATATGACGCAATTAGATCCTTTTCACTGTTTTGAGGATATTTTAAAAACAGCTATGAAAACTGTTTAAAGTTTGAAATTATTAGTGTAAATAATATATAGAGATGGTCTCATTGAAATCATTTACCGACCAAGGGTGTTTCTAGCTACTGACAGAAAAATAAAATTGGAGACAGCGCAGAGTGTATTTAAAATTCTGAAAAAATAAAATACCATTTAAATGCTAACACTTCTTTTATATTAATGTGTCCACGTGCTGCGCTCAAGAGAAATAAAAACAGTAATTAAAGTCGATAGAGAAATAAATATTATAAAGTCAATAACAATTGCTGAAAAGAAAAAAAAAAAGTAAATTTTCCACTAATATTTGTAGATATTGTGCGACCATTGTCAAGAGTGGGTTATTTCCCTTGTATAAATATAAGCGTATTTGTGTGTTTGTGTACACTTTGTCTTGTTATAAAAGCAAACTATTTAGATTATTGATTTATTAAATTGAACGATCAACCTGGAACTGTTACCTGTTTTATTGTAAGCACGTCCAAACAAAGATATGCTTCATTTCACGACCCTCCCAATTTGTCTACTTACAGAATTTCTCATTGTAGGCTGCACAAATTTTTTCTTCTTTCCATTTTTCAGTCAGTAGATATCTTTGCAACAACGGTGGAGTAATTGATAGCGACTCAGATTAAGGAATCGGAGAATTTCAATCGAGTTCATTGCATTTACTTACGTGCCTTGGGAAAGGCATGAATCCATCTCTTCTCTTCCAGATATGAGTAAACAGACTCGGTCCTATAGTTGGTAACCAGTCTAAGAGGAGGAACAACCTCACTTCAAATCAACGTGGGCCCTGTCAGGATATCTTGTATCCCTTTCGCTGCAGCGTATGGGGTGCCCCTAGGATTACGGGATTCATGATCGTAAAGTCTCCCCACCAATCCCATATCTCTCACTCAATCTATGCACGAATTTACTTTGGTCGGAATCAAGTTGTAGTACCTGTTACTTACCGTATTTCAAGTTTCCGATTGTTCTGAAAGTTCACAGATTTGTAAAGAGAAAATCTTAGTCCCAAGGATTCCACCATTATGTCAGTACCTCCCTCATTGCACTAAAGAAGAAGGGTTGATTGAAACCAGAGGCAGCGTTATAGTGCACTATTTACATTATTCGGAATAATGTCCTCATCTTTGTCGTCATATTTATCACAACGTTTCGGACGTTGTACATTCCGGACTTCTTCAGGTGGTTGGAATGTCGAACTGAATCCTTTATTTTGCTCACAGGCCATGTCTAATGGATATTAGTCACCAGTTATCTCCTGTTAAATCCCCTCTCCAATTTCTCCACCGACTTAACCAGGTATTATACTCACACTCTTTGGGTCCTGTTACTGGATCTAACTAATGCTTTTATCCACTGTGCCATGTGTCCTCAAGGCGGTGGAGAAATTGGAGAGTGGAATTAACAGGAGATAACTGATAAGTGACATCCATTAGACATGACATGTGGAACTAGAACAGTCTACCATAGTGAGCGAAACAAAGGGTTCAGTTCGACATTCCAACCAACTGAAGAAGGCCGGAGCTTACAAAGGCCGAAACGTTGTGATAAATTTGGCGACAAAGATGAGGACAATAGTCCGAATAATGTAAATAATGTACATAATACCTCATCTCAGAAATATAGACAGCGTTATTGTGGTTGCGAAAACTGACCAATTTTTGTTCTTCACCTTTATGCATAGGTTTGGTCATCTAACAAAAAATAAAATCGACATATCCTCGTGGGGCGGTGGATAAATAACGTCGGTAACAACGAAACAACCAGACCGCCAGAGAGTAGTATCTGTTCTTTACTGTTTTCTGTCTTAATGCTGAATAAGTTCCTCACAGATGAAGAGAAGACATGAAGCAATAGAGATATGACTCTACAGAAGCCTGATGAGAGTAACATGGACGGAATATTTGACCAACGACGAAGTCCAAAGTAAAGGGGACAACAAGAAAAACACCAGAAAAGACATTTGGGACGCGTAATGAGGAAAGAGGGCTTGGGGAATCATAGAACATATCGATAGGGCAGCTTTTAAGCTAGCTCCTGTGGAGAGCTTCCGCGGAGAGCTCCCGTGGAGAGCTCCTGAAGTGAGTTCTTGATTGGGCCTTCGGCTCGTTCAGGAGTTTGAGAGTTCCTTAGACTTTGCATATTTTCAGCATTGGAAAGTCTCTCTTCGCTGTTGTTTGATCTGGGTTTTCATTTTCACGAGATTTATTTTCCTTGCTGCAGCCTTGGCTCTTTTGATTGCAATCTGGTCCTCTGTTGGCGGAGATTTCTTTGCGAGGTATATTTCTGCCGTACGAGATAGGCAACAATAAACTACAGAAGAACTCGAAATTGGCCGCTGCATTTTAGTATTGCATCAATATTTAAGCTTACTTTTTAAAAAGTTCAACGATAAATCTTTTAGCGCCAATTAATTTAAATACAATTTGATGTACGTAGGTTCTTACTTTCCGTACAAACAATTATTTTTATTTCATGGGTGACTTTCACTGGATTTAGCAATTTATTTCGATTATTCCCAAATTTATTTCCAAGTTATAAAAATTGTTAACGTACAAAAATTTCGTCGCAAAAAATCACGTAAAAAGGGTCGAAACAGTAACGGAAACCAGGAAATCCAAAGTTTAGGATTTCATATCCGGATCCGGCTCAGAATATTTTTAATCTTCTCACGGAGTCAGCCTAATTCCAAAATGGTATTATATGTCGGGCTATGGCCTCTAGGGGGAAAGCTGAGAAAGTGTGACATACTGACATTCTCATTTATTTATATAGATATTGTTTAGAGATACGAAGAATAAGATTATGATAGCTCACGTCCTGAAGAGACAGGGGACACTAAAGATGGTGTTAGATGTGTAAAACGTTGGCGAATTTATCACCCACCCATTCGCTCGTTATTTGCTACCATTTGAAAGTAATTTTTTCAAATGAGGCTTTTCAAAACACACTTGCGGCTTCCTTCAATGGCTTGGCGATTCGACCATTGTTAATCGGTAAATTGGTTATACTTGAAAGCTTTGCAGTTTCATATTTTATATCTAATCGATATTTTTTTTTAAAAAAAGCAAGCCACCGACGTATATAAATAAATAAAGTGATTTTTTTTGTCCGACCTAATAAAGAGGTAAACTAATTTTTCCATAACTAGGAAATATTCAGGTAATTTAGTGATTTTAAAAGTGGATTAAATTTTTCATGATATTTCAAATTTATTACTGAAAACAATTCACTGTTTAAAGACTGAGACACACTTGTTGATTAGTGATTCTAGCTGAGCGGGGATTACGGCAATATCTCATTGAATGCCCGGTTCTCGTACGACCATATAAGTTAAGCAACGTCGAGCCTAGTCAGTACCTA